ACCTGTGCTGACCCGCTGGCTCTTGGCCTGTGCCTCCTTGCGGGGCGCTGGGGTTGCCCCCTCCCTGCCGCACCCTGCTCCGGTGCCCTGTGGCTCGTGGGTCTCTAGGTGGTCACCGATGCACCCGTCCTGCTGGTGCCTAGAGGTGTTTGTTGCCTGCTCTGGGGAGCGTGACTGTAGCTCTGTGGGGAGCAGGCAGGGGGTTGCCCAGCCCCTCGCCCCCAGGAGCAGGCGCCTACCCCTTCCCGCTGGCCGCAGGCACGAGCGGGGCCGGGTCGGTGATGTGCGGGCCGAGCCTTGCAGGGCGCGGCGCTCCGCTCCTGCAGCCGCGTTCACCTCCAGCAGGTTTGTCTGGACGTGGCAGGTCGTGTCCCGACAGGCCCTAGTGGCTGTGGTGTGGTGCCTGCTGGGCCCTCCTGGGCAGGAGCGGTGCCTCTCTGGCCTCCAGCAGCGCACCCGGCGCCAGGGAGCTCCCATGGCCAGGTGGTGCCCTGCCGCTCCCCGAGGCCCTGGCAGGACACGGACACTGGTGCTACTTGCTCCATGTCTGCACAGGAGTCCCCTAAGGAGGTGCAGTGTCAGGGCTTTGCCGGGCAGTGTGGGGCCCTGGTGCAGTGCTCAGGCCCCTGCCTGCTCCTCCCTGCATGGGATACACTGCTGCCTGGTAGCACTGGCCCACGCTGTGTACAGCTCCTGCCCTGGGCAGCTGGCTCCTCTCTTCCACCCCGTTCTCCCATGGTCGGTGCAGGTCTCTGGCCTCTCCCTGGTGTGCTTGTTCAGGGCCATCAGGGTACCCCATCTCCGCCATGGGAATCCCAGCTCCCCGCCCCACAAGGACCCTGATGTGGGGCGAGAGCAAAGCTCAGCCTGGCAGGCCTTTGCCGCTGCCCAATCAGTGGGTCTCCAGTGCTGGCCTGAGCAGCGGGGCAGGATCCTCAGGTCTGTGGTGTGGTGGGGGAGAGCTCCAGAGCAAGGACATACCCACTCTGCCCAGCGCAATGGTGGAGAGGAGCTGGAGCAGCTCTGTCCCAGATGCAGCTGTGTTGCAGGCAATGAGGTGCTGAGACCTGCCAGCACATCACTGCTGCAAGAAGAGTAGTTGTGGGGGGGATTTGGGCACAGCTCAGGCCTCATCTCAAGCACTGTGGGCAGTTCTGGGCTCTGCATTTGAAAAAAGGACGTTGAGAAGTTAGCGAGGGGCCGGAGGTGGCAGCAAAGATGATCAAGGGCTTGGAAGACGCATGAGAAGAGGCTAAAGGCGCTGGGCATGGTCAGCTGGCAGAAAAGGGGCCTGAGAGCAGCCTGCAAACACCGGAGGGGCTGCCGTAAAGAAGGGGGAAAGCTCCTTTTCTCTCTTGCTACAGAGAGGAGGATGTGGAGCAATGGCTTGAAGTTGCAGCAATGGTTTATACTGGATCTCAGGAAAAACTTCCTTGCTGTTAGAGCCGGGACGTCATGAGATAGACACCGGGGAAGGTGTGGACTCTCCATCACTAGAGGGGTCCAAGGAGAGGTTGGATGGCCGCTGGTGGGGGAGGACCTAGGCATAGCGATGCGATGCGAGTGTTTCCCAGGATTCTGGGCTCTGCTGGTTTCCCCCTGGGGCTGGGAGGGAATTTCCTCCCCTTCCCCCGCACTACATGTCAGGGGGGTTTTAGGGAGTTCCTCAGAAGTGTTAGGCGTTGGGTGCAGCCAAGCCTGGGGGCTGGGACTGGGGACTGTGTCAAAAACCTGCAGGGTCCTGGCTGGAAGGTCTTGCCCCTCCGCTCACGGTCAGACTGATGCCACATTTGGGGTCAGGAAGGAACTTTAGCCCCTGGTCAGAGAGGTGTGGATGGTGGGGGCGGGTTGCCTCCCTCTGCAGTGGGGGCACAGCCCCTGCCTCGGCTGTCTCAAGAGCTTATTCGCCACCTTTGCAGCAGCAGGATGTCGGTGGCCACGGTCCCGCTCCTTTCCCTGTGGCAGGGGCACGGGTGGTGCCTGGAGCCGTGTCAGGAGCGATGGTGTTTTGCTCAGAGGTTTGTCTGGGCTGGCTTGCACAGGGCTGGTCCTGCCGCAGGCAGGGCTTGGACTAGACGTGGGCTCTGGAGCTCTCTGCCAGCCCTGCGGCTCTAGGATTCGGCACTTCAAACAAAGCTCCACGTCCGTGCAGTCCAGTTGGGGCCCTTTTATTATTCCACAGAGCGCGGTGCCTGGAGCAGTCTCCGCTGATTCCTCTGCCCAGGCCAACTGGTCCGGTCCTGGCAGGGACTCCTGGCGAGTCTCAGGGGAGGGACCTCATCCCCCAGGCTTCTCCCACCCCCTCCCCAGCAGCTGAGGGGGCAGGCGCTATGCAGGGCAGGATGCCTCTGCCCCAAGGGCACAGGTGTGAGTCACCTTGTCATCCTTGGCCCAGCCCCGGCTGAGTCACCAGCCCCTGGGGGGGAAGGAAGTGTTTCCTGGGCCAAGCCGCCTCTGCACGCAGGGCAGGGCCCCACAGCAGGGAATTGGTTTGGGAGCCTTGCTCCACCTGGGGCCTGTGGGTCTGGACCCCCACACCACCAGCTGTTTGAGGTGGCCCAGCCCCACTCCTGCCGGGGGCTGAAATCGCATTGACTCGTTGTGGGCTGGCAGGGGAGCAGACCCCCTGCCCCAAACCCAGCCCTACAACCTGCCTTTGTTTTCCTGGCAGCGCCAGCACTGGCAGCAAGAGGCTGGGCCCCACCAGACCTCCCTGAGGCATAAGGGGAGAGAGGCTTCTTCCCCAGGGGTGCTGGGTTGGAGGCTGAGGCCACGGTCTGATTGCTTTGTGTCTGCATGATAGGTGTTGGGAGGACAAGAGCCTTGTGCCAGTGTTTGCTCTTGAGCGCGGTCTGGCTGGGTGCAGCAGAGGCTTGAAGCTGCTGGGTACGAGGGCACCGGGGAGCTGTCACTGCCTGAGAGGGGATGGGGACAGGACTCTGCACCGGTGCATCCCCAGCCCTGCCCCCTCCAGGAGCCAGGTGCTGCCCTTTCCCCGCTGGGCTCCGTGGCCGCGCGCTCGCTGCCCAGCGCTGTGTGTTTCCATAGCCCCGTGCTGGGCCTGGCTGGGTTAATTGCAGAGCCCTTGCCTCTTCTCTGTGAGAAGGTGTGAAGTTTGGGTGCGGTCCCAGATGCCTGGAAAAGGGCCAGTGGAGTTCCCACTTTTAAGAAAGAGAAGGAGGAGGGTTCACAGACCAGCCATACTGACCCTAAAAACCAGAAAGATCATGGAGCAGGTCACCAGGAGCCAGGAACAGCCAGCATGGACTCATTGCGAGTCTGCCTAGACTTATTTCCTTCTCTGACAAGGTGACAGGCTCTGTGGGGTGACTTACCTCCATGTTAGCAAGGCCTTTGACACAGTTTCCTTTGACATGCTTATTAGTAAGCGAAAGAAATACAGTCTAGACTAAAGGTCTGGTGAGGTGGATACAGAACTTGCTGGGTCTCGCTTGGTGAGTAATAGCTCAATGTCTAGTTGGGAGGAGATATCAGGTGGGTTCTCCAGGGGACCGTCCTGGGTCCAGTGTTGTTTACTGTCTTCATTAATGATTGGGACGATGGGATCAAGTACACACTCGGCACGTTTGCAGTTGACACCGAGTTGGGAAGAGCTGCAGGCACTGGCAGGCAGGGCTAGGATCCAGAATGACCTGGACGCTGTGGAGAAGTGGTCTGAGACCCATCGGGACCTTCAACAAGGAGGAGTGCAAAGTCCAGCACTTGGGGTGGAAGATCTGCGTGCACAGTTACAGGCTGGGGAGTGACTGAAAAGGCTGAAGTATTCAATGACTTTTTTACCTTGGTCTTCACAGGCAAGGGCAGCCCCCAGGCTACTGCACCCGGCAGCGCAGTTTGGGGAGGAGGTGAGCAGCCCGCAGGGGTGAAAGAACAGGTGAGGGACTGCTTAGGGAAGCTGGATGTGTACAGGCCTGTGGGGTCAGGAGGGATGCACCCAAGGGTGCTGAGGGAGTTGGCCAGTGTGATTGCAGAGCCCACTGGCCATCATCTTTGATAACTCGTGGTGATAGGGTTGACTGGACAAGTAGCACTCATCTTTAAGAAAGGAAACGAGGAGGATCTGGGGAAATACAGACTGGTCAGTCTCGCCTTAGTCCCTGGAAAAAGCATGGAGCAGATCCTCGAGGAATCCGTCTTGAAGTGCTCGGAGGAGAAGACCGTGATCAGGAACAGTCAGCATGGATTTACCAAGGGCAGGTCACACCTGACCAACCTGATTGTCCTCTATGACGAGATGGCTGGTTCTGCGGATGCAGTGGACGAGATATGCTTGACTTTAGCAAGGCTCTTGATACGGTCTCCCACAGCTTTCTCACAGGCAAGATAAGGAAGTCGGGGTGAATGGCTGGACTGTAAGGTGAATAGAAGACTGGCAGGATTGTCGAGCTCAGAGAGTAGTAGTCAATGGCTTGATGTCTGGTTGGCAGCCGTTATCAAGTGCAGTGCCCCGGGGTCGGTCCTGGGGCCAGTTTTGTTCAATATCTTCATCAACGACCTGGAAGATGGGATGGCGTGCACCCTCAGCACGCTTGCAGATGACATCAAGGTGTGGGGAGTGGAAGATACGCTAGAGGACAGGGCAAGAATTCAGAGTGACCTCGACACATTGGAGAATTGGGCCAAAGGAAATCTCCTGAGGTTCAACAAGGACGAGTGCAAAGTCCTGCACTGAGGAGGGAGCGATCCCCTGCACCGGGGCAGGCTGGGGGTGACGGCTGGGCAGCAGCTCTGCAGAGGAGGACCTGGGGGTGAGAGGGGACAGTAAGCTGGATATGAGTTAACAAAAGACAGCCAACATCAGACTGCGTTGTAGTAACAGGGGCCTGACTTGCAAGCCGGGGCAGTGATTCTTGTGCTGTGTTGGGGACAGAGGAGGCCTCACCTGGCCCGTTTGGGAAGAGTCCAGCAGAGAGCAGCAGAAAGGATCGGGGCCTAGAAAACGATCGCCGGTGAGGAGAGGCCGAAAGAACTGAGATGACGTAATCGGGCAAGGGCTGGAGGGGGATCCGATGCCCGTCTGCAGAGACCGAAAGGGTGGTTCCACAGGGTGGAGACGGACTGGGACGGCGCTAGGAGCCTGTGGCCTCAAGTTGCAGCAGGGAAATCGCAGTTGGAGACGTGGAGAAACTTCCTGGCTCTGGGGGTGGCTGGGCACTGGAGCCGGCCGCCCAGAGAAGCTGTGGCAATGTCCGAGAGCGGGATGGACAGACGCGGCTGGGATGCTTTAGTCAGGCTGATCCTGCCTGGAGCGGGGGCTGGACTAGCCGCTCTCCCAAGGGCCCTGCCAGCCGGCGTTGGCTCTGTGATCCTCGTGCCCCCTCGCTGCTGGGAGGGGCTTTGCCCTCCAGGCTCTGCTCGCTCGGGCCCTGGGCTTGGCCCCCCACTGCCCCTCACCCTGCAGCTCCTCAGCACCGCTCAGTCTGAGGCCGTCGCTGACTGCCCTGTTAGTAGAGCATGGGGCCAGCTGGACCGGTCCTGGCCCCGCTGGGCAGCTCAGCAGCCGTCTGTAGCGGGCACGTGTTCCTGGCTGTGCCGGCCACAGCTCTGGCTGGAGGCGGGGAAGGTCACGCTCCGAGCAGGCTGGTACGCCTAGGTTTCCCCTGCCTGGCTGGACCCTGCTCCCGGTCGCCTGAGGCTGGGCAGAGCCTCAGAGGGCTGCTCGCGGGGGGAGCGTGCTGCGCCGTGCCTGGGGCAGCCCCCGGCAGACCAGGCTGATGCGAGTGCCCAAGCTGCACCGTGTGCCAGGGCAGTGCCAGGGTCGGGGCATTGGGAAGGCAGCTCCTTGGAGCCTGCAGCGCAGCTCTGGGTGGGTGAGCAGCAGCCTTCACGCCTGGCAGGGCAGTGAGAGGCACTTGGGGGCTCTTGGCCCGGTGCCGAGCAACAGCACTTCGCGGGTAGATAAGGGCTCCCGGCGAGGGGAGGAGTGGCGGGGGCCTGGCCTGGCGTGTTGCCCCATTGCAGCAGGCTGCGGGGTGGCAGCGGGGCTGCGCGTGGGGTTATAGCTCATCCCAGTAGAGGCAGATCTCTGTTCAGAGACCCCAGTTACTGCTTGCGAGGCGGGGGCTCCCGGGGGGCAGTGGGGGCAAAGCCCATCCAGGGGTTCCCTCAGGCGGGGTCGGTCTAGCCGGCAGCACTGCCCTCCTGGCCCAGGGCAGACTGTGCTGAGGTTTGGGGTAGGAGGTTTGCTGGTTCGGCCTGGACTGGGCACGTGGTGGGGACTGGGGAGGTCAGCCCACAGAGCCCCACAGCCGCCTGGCTAGGAAAGAGGGTGAAGGAAGGAAGGGGAGGAACTTTTCCCCCTCCTGTTGCTACGGGTTTCTGGGGTTTCACCTTCCTCGGAAGTGTTTGCACGGCGGCAGCCCAGGCTGGGGGTGGGACTGGCTGGGACGGACCCCGCAGGGTCCTGGCTGGAGGGTCTTGTCCCTGCGCTCGGGTTCAGCCTCGTGCCAGGAAGGACTTTGACCCTGTGGTCAGACCAGCGCAGACGGAGGGCTTCTGCCTTCCCCTGCAGCAGGGGCATGAACTCTGCTTGGGGTCTTGGTCCACTTAACCCCCCAGCGGCAGGACGCTGGCAGGGCCCCAGCCCCCGGCTCGGCCTGCAGCAGGTCTGGGCACCCATGTCACATGCAAGAGGGCTGCAGTGCAGCTTGAGAGTAGGTTTGATGGGCGCTTGCCTGGGCTGGTCCAGCCTGGCCTGATCCTGCCCGGGGCAGGGACTGGACCCGCTTTGACGTCCCATGGGCCTGGCCTGCCTGGCTGTGCTGCCCGAGTCCTGGAGCGGGCACGCAGGACCCAGCTGGGCACAGGGCGATTGGGAGGAGAGTGGGCACGGAGCCCTGCTCCCTGCACTCTTGCAGGGGCACCAGAGCAGCTCTCACCCAGGGCAGCTGGCAGGGCAGAGTGGGGTGTGGGGGCAGAGCTGGCCCCGGGCTCCCTGCAACCCCCAGCAGAGAGAGCAAGGGCCTGGGAGCTCTCGCACCCGCACCCACACCCGCCCTGCTCACCGCAGACCTGCAGCAGATGCCCCCTGCACAGGGCAGAGCCTGCCCGTCAAGTGTGACGGCCGGGGCCGGGGCTGGGGCCGTCCTGCCAGGAGGCGCAGCCAGCAGAGCTCCTGCACGGCCCCTCGCCCCAGCCCGGGCCCCAGCGGGCAGAGCCCTGGCACAGCCCCCACGGAGCCCAGGGAGAGCCGTGCCCGGCCCCTGGCAGGGCCCCTCTGGCACAGGCGCAGCTCCTGGCACCCGGCCCAGGCTCCGCTCCTGCTCCTCGCAGCCAGCCCAAAGAGGCCGCGTGTGTCCAGAGCCTGCAGCTCCCGGGCCGGCACCCAGCAGC